AATCAAATGTTATGATTCTGCCAAAGAAATTTAACAACAAAATGGCTTCTAATGACATCATGCTATATCCATAGATCAGTCTCTCACTCAGCCATCATCAGAGAGGCTTCATCTTGCAGTAGATGGAATCCAATATGGAGACCCACAAATGAACAATGTTCAGAGTGAGACTTGGGAACACTCAGGCCTAAATGGGATGTATTCATCAAATCCAGCTACTCAGGAATCAGCAATCTATGCAGAAGAGGAGGCTGAAAGATGGTAAGAGTCAGGATGAAGAGCACCAAGGAAACCGTGTCTTCCAGACACAGCAGGACTAATGAACTGAAAGAGGCTGTGGCAGCATACACAAAGCCTATACAGAGTTAAGCCAAATAGGATCCCAGCACTGAGAGGTGGAAGTAGAAACAAGTTCCCATTTCTAATCAAGAAGCTATCTCCAATTGACAACTACCTGCAAAGGAAAACTAGCTTCCTCCAATGAAGTCTCACTGGGGTATATAAATTACACCTAAAGGCAGGCCCAGCAAAAGACGGCCAAACAAAACAAACTCAATGATATTTTTGTATACTTTGTGTCTCATATTAGTCTACTTGGGTATTTTTTTAATCTTAGAGTCTTTTGTTTATACATTAGGGTTTATGACTCTCTGTGCTTATGCATGTGTGAGTGTGTGTCTTTTGATTTTTCCTTTCTCGTTTTATTCTGTTTTTCGGGTTTTTTTATTTGCCTGTTTTCTAAAAATATAAAGAAAGAAGGCATGGAGTTTAATGGGTGGTGAGGTGAGATGATCTGGTGGAGGGGTTGGAAGGAGAGGTGATCAGAATATGTTGTAGGAAGAAATTTATTTTCAATACAGAATAGTATTGAAATGGAATAGGAATAGGAATATGTGCTATACATACTAATATGAAAAATACTACAAAATGTTCCATGATACAAAATAAATAGAGCTGGAATATATAAATTTATGTACATATATAAGTACGTGTGTGTGTGTGTGTGTGTGTGTGTGTGTAGTACGCTAAAGTACATACATATGCCAGGCATGGTGGCATAAACCTGTAGTCTCATTAGCTGGGAGGCTGAAGCAAGAGCATTCCTAGTTCAATGACAGCTATACAGTGAGTTTGGGACCAGCCTGAACCACATAGAAACTATTGTCTCAAAACAGAAAAAGAAAAAAGAAAAAAAAATATTTGAAATGGAGAAATCTTTTTGAATACCATATGTTTCTATCAGTTTATATTTATATAAGAATTATCTATCATTTCAGTAGTTATTTAAAGTAAGTGTATTTTAAAGATGTTACAGATCTTATTGCCTTTGAACATTGTCCCTATTTTGGGACATATCCCTATTTTGAACATGTACTATTTTGAGTTTTATTTGTTTATTTATTGAAACAGGGTCTTACTATATAGCTCTGACTCTCCTGGAAATCACTATGTAAATCAGGCTGGCCTTCAATTCACAGAGATCCTCCCGTTCTGCTGCACAAGTGCAGGGATTAAAGGTGTGTACCACCATGAACAGCTTATTTTTAATTATGTGTCTATAGGAGAGTGAGTGCGCATGAAGGCAGTTATCCCTGGAGGCCAGAAAGAGGTGTCGGATCCCACTGGAACTCGAGTTATAAGTGGATAAGAACTGTCCAATATGGGTTCTGTGAACCAAACTCTGGCCTTCTGCAAGAGCAGAGTACACTTTCAACCACTGATCCATCTCTCCAATCCCTTAAATAAATAATTTTAAATGTATATCAGAGTCCGTGAAGCTTCATATCCTTTTGCCCAAACCTACATAGTTCAACAGAATTCAATGGATAAAGGCTATAAAAATGCTCAGTTTATCAGCTGTAGTTATCTTGAGCTATATGATATATTTACTTTTTCTTCATTTTTAATATCTAAACTCTCACAATGAGTTTAAGACTCAGCACCAAAAAAGGTAACTCTGATTATGTAACTTTCAAAAGACTGATGTACTTTCCATAAAAATCACCAAAATGAAGACAATTTTGAACTTGTTATTGTTCATTACAACTGTTCTTAGTATACTTTTAATACTCATATGTGTTCATGTGTACATATAACACATGTATATGCATTTATATGTATATGCATTGCATGATGTGTGTGGATGTATATGTGCATGTGTTCATGTGTGTGGGTGTGCTATGATGTAGCAGGCATGTGAAAGTCACAGGACAACCTTAGGTTGCATGTTGGTCCTCACCTTCTACTTTGTCTGAAACAGGGTTTCCTTGCTATTTTCTACCATTACATAGCCAGGCTAGGTGACCTTTGATATTTCATAAATCCTCTGGATTGAAGTTCTAGACATGTATTCCTCTGCTCAGCTTTATGTGAGTTCTGAGGATTTAAACACAGTTCCTAATATTTGAACAGCAAGCACTTTACCTATTTAATGTATTCGGCCCTATTCTAAATAGTTTTCTTTTTATGAATTAAATTATTTCATTTAGTTTACATCCTGACGGCAGTTTCCCCTCTCTCCTCTCTCACCCCCATCCTCCCTTCTGCTCCCCGCCCCATCCACTCCTCCTATGAGTGTCAACAAAGCATGACATATCAGTTGACGTAGGACTAAGCTCTTTCCTTTGTATTAAGGCTGGGCAAGGCAACTCAGTATGGGGAACAGGTTTCCAAAAGCCAGCTCAAGCATTAGGGACAAGCCTTAATCCCAGTGCTAGGAGTCCCACAAATATACTAAGCCACACAACTGTCACACATATGTATAAGCCTAAGTCATTATCATGCAGGCTCCCTAGGTATTGATCCAAAGTCTGTGAGCTCCTATGATCCCAGGTATAAATAGTTTTTAAACATCCACCAATTTACACACACAAACACACACACACACACACACACACACATTTAGCCATGTAAATCTTCTGTTTTTGCTGTTTTATTGTAGGTCATCATTTTGAAACAGAGTCTTATGAAGACAAGGATAGCTTAGAAGTCCTGGCATCCTCCTGCATAAGTCATCATGCACAGCTCCAAATTAAAGATTCCCACAACACCAGGTATAGTGGCACTTTCCTATAAGCCCATTACTTGGGAGCTAGAGACAGGAGAATCAGAAGATCAAGGTAATCTTCAGCTAGGGAATAAATGAGGAAAAATGTGATTTTCATAAGACGCGTGGGAGGGCAGTAAGAAAAAAGGAAAAATGAAAGGCAGGTCAGGGAAGCAGATGGAGACAGATAAGGAAAGGAGTCAGAAGCATGAGAAGGATGCTATCTGTGATCAAGTGAGCAAGGACAGTAGCAGTTGGAGCTATAGGTAGAGATTAGCAGGCCTTGGGAAACACATTAAGAAGTGCAGGAATGTACTGGCTTTTTTGGGGGACCCTAGTCTATTTGGATGCACAGCTTCCTTGGTCTGGATGTAGCGGGGAGGGCCTTGAACTTCCCAAAGGGCAGGGTTCCCTGCCCTCTCTCAAGCAGGGAGGGGGAGGGAGGAGGGGGAAGGAAGGAGTGGGAAGGGAATGGGAGGAGGGGAGGAAGTGTAAATTTCTGAATGAAAAAAAAAGAAGTGCAGGAAACAGCAGAGATTAACTGAGAGAGAATGGCAAACTCCAGACAGAGCTTTCTCAAGACCCAAATCAGTCTAGTTCACTTCTTTATTCTAATAAGACTAGCATTTACATATTTTTTAATTCAGTTGTATTTTACAGCACTACCAAATATATATTGGTCCTTAAAATTATTCTAGTACTGTGATGCCATTAGACAAGGACACTTAATATCTGATAACATTGTTCTAGGTACCAGGCCAAGAATTTTTGTGTGTACTCACAAGGCTCCCATGCCACTAATGAATTAAGAAGAGTTGATGATTAGGTATGTAAACTCTCAAGTTCTAAGACAGTATATGAACCTAACCTATCTAATCCATAAGCCCGTATACTTGGCCAAGATTGGTGTTGTATGTCCACAGACCCAGCTAGATGGGAGTTTGAGAAGAAAGGATTACTTAAATCTAGGAGTTAAAGACCATCCTGGACAACACACAGTTTCTTCCTTAAATATGGTAACTGGGTGGGGCTAAGATTCCAATAAGAAATTTTTAAAGCTAAAACCCACTAACTAAAAAAAGAACATGCAACCCTTCATCTGGTGTTTCACTTCATTAATATTGTATATGTGCATGTGCATGTGTATGTGTATGTGGTGATGTACCACAGTGCACATGTAGAGGTCAGAGGACAACTTTTCATACTCTGCTTTCTTAAAAGTCTTATGTGGGTCCTGGGGAATAAACACTGATCACCAGACTTGCAAGGTAAACTCCTGACATAATGAACCATCACTACAACTGATTTTTCATTTTAATAATACATGTATGTGTTATACATTTCTTTTATTGTTGTCCTTGCTGTCTTGAGGCAAGGTTTCACTGTAACTAAGAATGATCTAGAATTCACTCTATAGGTCAGAGTCCTCAAACTTACAGCAGTCCTCCTACCTCGGCCTCCTGAAAGTTGAGATTAGAGGAGTAAGTCACTATTTCTTTCCTTTATTTTTTCCTTTCTTTCTTTCTATTTAGTTATTTACTTATTATACAACGTAGACTGGCCTGGAACTCACAGATATTTACTTGCCTCTGCCTCCAAAGTACTAGGATTAAAGACCTGTGTCACCATTCCTGGCTCTTTATTGCTTGTTTGTTTGTTTTTTTAATATATAGCTTCACTATGTTATGCTAACCTCACACTTGCAATCCTCTTTCAGCATCTTGATTATAATCATGTAACACCAGCTTAGCAAGTTCTATATTTTATGAACTTGATTCATTAGTCTATGCATTCCAAACTACCAAGATTTGTGATGCTACAAATAATAATAAATCACCACCTATTGATCAACCTCAACATCCCTCAGGTGTCTAACTTCATAAACATGCTATGTCCTTTTCTTGACAAATCTGACGGTCCCTTATCCTCAGTCTCACTTCACACTGAGTCTTACCTGCAAAATAATCATGGTGAGAGACAACGTACAAATCATGTCCTTCCTGTCCTTCTTTAAACACGTCTTCAAAGGCTTTTGGTGGATTCACAATGTCACTAGCAGACAGCTCTGAAGAAAGAATCAACAAGATCAATATTAAGGGCTCCTATCTACTTGTTGTGTATAGAAACTACATCAAATGACAAGTGTAGTCTGATAGTTTCATAAGCTGCACAGAACACCTTGGTGATCTCATAGCCACCAAAAAACAAGATGAGCTAGACATAATGGCACATGCCTAGATTGTCAGCACTTGAAGGTAGCGAAAGACCAGGACTTCAAGGCCAAGTTAAACTACATAGTGCATTTGAGGTCAACCTAGGCTACATGAGACCTTGTCCTAAAAGAGAGGAGTGGAGAGGGAGACAGGGAGAAGGGAGGAGAAAGAGAGAGAGGGAAAAAGTGAGGGAGAGAGGAGAGGAAGAAGAGAGGAAGAGAGGGAAGGGAGGGAGGGAGAATGGGGAGAGAATGAGTCTATGTATCATTTTGCTATAGATCCCTGAGAATTCTGAAGATCAGAACACTGACAGAACCATTCAAGTTATCCTCCCCCATACTTCAACTCCAGTTAAGTTCTCACTCCTGAAATTCTAGACAATTTTGGCTTACATTTATTCCCAACTTCTTAAGAGAATGCAAACAATTTTGAATTACAAATGAGCAACACTGATGTACAAATTTTGGCAGCTGTAACTTGGAGCACAAACATTCAGTCTGTTTTAATATGAATCTCCATTCTCATCATAGCCAGAGATAACAAGAAACGCGTGGAGTTGAGAAGAAATTCCTCTTCCTACAAATCAATCCTCATTCTGTTTACCATGAGCTGTCTTGTTTCACTTACGAGTCTTTGAATGCTGGGGATTGAATGTGGGACCTTATGTATGCTAGGCATGCCCTCTATCTCTAAACTGTGTCTCTTCCCCTTGGTTTTTTTCTAGACAGGACCTCAATTGGTAGACATATCTCCCAGGCTAAGCTCACACTTGAGATTGTCTTCCCTCAGCCACTTGAATGCTAGGACTGCAAGCACATTCTCCATCTCAGTCTGAATTAAAAGTATCTCTCACAGGTTCATGTGTTTGAATTGATGCCCTGCTTGTAGCACAGTTTGGGTTGGCTGCTAGGTAGATAGGTTGCTGGGCTGCTAAAGCCCAGTCCCACTTTACCTTCTACTTCCTCGTCCGTGAACATGTGGAGCGTGCCAGCTACATGCCTCAGCTGCCATGAATTCCACCATGCCTTCCCTAACATAAGGAGCTATGTCCTCTCAAAACTTGAGACCAAATAAACCTTTCCTTAAGTTGCTTCTGTCACTTATTCTGCCTGCACTGTAACAAGAATGATAGCTAATGGATTACTCAAAATGCCCAGATTACTCAAAACACTTTATTTAAAAAAAATTCTTGTTTGAGACAGGGTCTCAGGATGCCCTTAAACTCCTGATCTTCCTACCGCTGCCTCATAAATGCTGCTATTAAATGTTTCAGTACCTGGCTACTACCGAATCATCTTTTAAATGTAACCCCACTCCCAACTTCACCGTGTCCTGTCAGTCTGTTAATCTAGATTAGTATGTTAATCTCAAAAGTCTGTTTTGATTTTTCTGTCAGGAACCGAATGAAGTCTGTGAACTAGTAGATTATGACATCAGAAGCTGGGGATAGAGCTGGACGATAGACCACCTGCCTACCTTGTATGAGACCCCAGGCCTAATCTCCAACAATGTGATGTACACATGTACACACACACACACACAGAGAGAGAGAGAGAGAGAGAGAGAGAGAGAGAGAGAGAGAGAGAAATCATGTCAAAATAATATGATGAAAGCCACTGTGGCAGCACATGACAGCAAGCCCGGCATTCATAAGGTAGAGTTAGGAAATCTGAAGTTCCAGGTCAGTCTTGCCTTTGCAGTGAGACCTTATCTTATAACAAAAATTAAAGATACCTGGGGATGTAGCTCAGAGATAAAACACTTGCATTACTTGTTCAAGGCCCCAATTTCAATCCCAAGTAGAGGAAAATGTCCTATAAAACACTACTTGAAGATTTTTTAGATGTTTGCTTCATTTTTAATGTACAAAAGCATTGTATGTCTCTTTCATGGAATAGATATCTTGAATGATAATTCAAGCCCCAAGTGCAGAGTACATCTATAATCCTAGTGTTTGGGAAATAGAGAGAGAATCAATGTGAGTTTGAGGCTGGACTTCCAAGTAAGTAAGAGCTCTTGTCTTGAAAACACACAAAAAATAAATAGATCGAGGATAATCACTTAGTTGAACTCCAGGATGACTGTGGCCTTCAAGTGTTCTGACAGAGATGCTGCACACTGTGTTCATATTTCAGGGTCTAACTGACTAGAGTGGGAATCCTGAGAGTGTGAGTTGAGTGCTCCACATCTTTAACCCCAGCACTCCAGAGCAAGAAGCAGATGTAGTTTTAAGAGTTTGAAGTCAGTTTGGTCTACATAATAAGTGCCAGGCTTGGCAGGCTACATAGTGAAAGGGGCCCTGTCTTAAAAAGAAAGAAAAAAATGAAAGGGAAGGAAGGAAGGAAGGAAGGAAGAATGGAAGACAAATAAAGCAAAACAAACATCTAGAAAACCCCTGGAAGGTTCTCACAGATGGTTCCAGTGGCCTATTTTGCTTTCAGGGATTCAATGAAGCAAACAGGAACAGTACGTTTTTGATGTATGAATCATTATACCCACTGATACACATTTTGAAGCATTGGTTTTGGGGTTTAGTTTGTTTGAAAAGGGGTCTCATGTACAGCCCAGGCTAACCTCTCCCTTGCTATGTAGGTGAAGATGGCCTTGAATTCCTGGTGTCCTGCATCGACGACCTCCTAAGTGCTAGGATGACAAGGGTCTACCATTACACCCAGACGAGTATTAGAGACTATTTTTTCTATTTTAAGAAATGTACACTAATACTATTTGAACATCTTTGCTGTTTGGTTTGCTTTGGATCTCATCTTCATCCATCGTTCAAACAGAGAATACTGACTTTGTAAGTTTTACCCCTTAATAAATGCCTGTCTATTTCTTAGTTCTGAGCTAGTGTGGGATTCCTTTTTTAAGCATCCAATCTCTCAACCATCACCTCTTAATTTTTTTTCTAGTTAGTCTGTACCTTGACATAGTACCTAGAGAAAGTCACACAGAGAATGATTCTTGAAGTACTGAATGTAATAGTAAAAAGATAGTATCATAGCAAGATCTCTCTCCTTCCCTCCCTCTCTTCTTTCTCCCTCTCTTCCAAGTTCCGACCCTTCTTGCCTTTTTGTCATTTTTTTCTTCCTTTTTAGGTTTCTTTCTAAACCTAAACCCTTCCTTGTAGGATTTCTATGTGACAGCTGAGGCAGTAAAAACCAAGTTTTGCAGTGGAGAGACAGTTGAGTGCAGCAGATATAATACAGTGACAGGAAAGACTCAGAAACAAGCATCAGGATCAACTGAGGGTCCCTGGATAACTATCTATGTCAAGCTGTCCTTTTCTTAGTTACTGGTGATCAAGCTCAGGTCCTTGCATACCTGTGTGTTAATCTAATGGGGCAGAGTGTATCTTCAACTTTCAATGGGAAGAGAGAAGCTCAATTGAGAAAATATCTCCATCATAATGGCCTGCAAGCAAATCTGTGAAGTATTTTCTTAATTCATAATTGATGTGGGAGAACCAAGCCTATTATGGGTGGTGCCACCCCTACAAGTGTTTCTGAGCTGCATAAAAAAGTAACCCAAGAGGGGTTGGAGAGATGACTCACTGATTAGGAGCATCTACTGATCTTCCAGAGGACCTGAGTTGGGTACTCAAGACCCATATTGAGTGGCTCACACTTATAACTCCTCTGGCCTTTTAGGACACCTGAACTCATGTGCACATATCCACACACAGACATGCAAATATATATAATTTAAAAGAAGGACTAAAAGATCCTACTCATATACCAGGTGGTGGTAGCACATACCTTTAATTGCAGCACTCAGGAGACAGAGATAGGCAGATCTCTGTGAGTTCAAGACCAGTCTGGTCTACAAGAGCTAGTTCCAGAACAGCTAGGGCTATTACACAGAAAAATCCTGTCACAAAAACAAAACAAAACAAAAATTCTACTTATAGACTGGGGACACAACTTAGCTGGTAGAGTATTTGCCTAACATGCAGAAGCCCTGGTTGGTCTCCAGTAGCACACAAAGCAGGTGGGTAGTGCATACCTGTAATCCAAGCACTCAGGAAGTATAGGCAGAAGGATCACAAGTTATTTACCCTGTCTCAAAATAACAACAGAAACAGAAAAACATTATTTATAGGAACTTTTAAGAATTATATGGGCCAGTTAGATGGCTCAGAAAATAAAGCACTTGTGCAAGTCTGGAGACCTGGGATAGAACACGGGAACCCATGTAAAGTGGCACACCTATCGTGCACATGCACATATACATGATAATGATGATAGAGACAGTTGTAAATATATATTAAAGAGCTCCACAGTAGCCTGGAATGGAGTATAACAAAGGTGTATTTATTTGGGGGCAAAACTCACAGTAAGGATAGATATTTGCAGTCTTCTGTGTGCACTGGAAGCTGGGAACCAAATAAAGATACTATGCACACTTTTTGTCTGTGCTTATAATACCTCAGACCATGCCCAAAATGGGCAGATATGTAAAAGGATATTGGCTGAAGGAGTACCCATAACACATTCCCCTTCTGTCCTAATAAGAGCGTTCTAAGCCTAATACAAAACTATTGACAAGCTCCACCAGGAGCAAAAGCCAGGAGCAAATCCAGTCCCAGAAGCCAACCCAGTCCTGGGATACTGGCAGAACAGGACTGAGTCAGCGATGTGACTCAAAGAGTCAGCGATCTTCACTGGAACCAGAGTGGAACTGAACCAGCTACTTAGGACAGAGAGCGAACAAGCTGCACCAGGAGCAGAAACCAGGAGCAAATCCAGACCCAGGAGCCAACCCAGTCCTGGGACACTGGCGGATCAGGACTGAGCCACCAATAGATCCAGAGTCAGCGATCTCCACCAGAACAGGTACACAGGAGTAACCG